AATGCATTTGGACTCATCACTGGCCCTCGCCTTGAACAGGAAATGTATCTACGACATGGCTGCTGTCCACACGAGATGCTGCTCCACTCCTACTCAGTCCCTACCGCACAAAGGCGCAGCTTTCTAGTAATGGAGACCCTGCAGTGACGAAGCTTGCACGCTCATCTTCAGTAAGCGGTGGAGCCGGGCGTCCAGGGCGCGTCCAGACGGAGAGATGGCCATCCATCACCTGGGTTACGCCGGTGTCCACCTGTGCCTCGCCCCCCCCCCGTGGAAACTGGTGAACATATCCAACGATGCTTCTGTTTTTGCTTTGGGATCTTAAAGTGCAAATGCGGAAATAGTTCTCAAAATAGTTATGAAAGGGTTAGATATTATGAGCCGCATTAACAAGGAAGATGAGAGTTTAATGAATAATGCATTTGGACTCATCACTGGCCCTCGCCTTGAACAGGAAATGTAATTTAAGTTATGAAACCCTGTGCATATGTATAAACAGCACAATAATGGAGAAAAAGAAGACCATTTTTACTTTATTTGGGACATTTAATAAAACTTTAAAGGGTTTTATTGAGGTCTTACAGCATCTAATGTGACTGATTTGTATCATAACACCGCGGAAGTTTCAGTTATTGGACTCTCTCGCTTTAGGGCCATGTCTTGTTAATTTGAAATAACTTCACAAAGTCCTATCCAAGATGGCAGCTTGCCCGCAGAGAGAAAAAGTCAAATGTAAACTAAAGCAATAAAACACGAGCTAATGCTGTAATTTAGTGGGGGATATTCTTGACTGAATCTGACTCCGGATCCTTATTAAACACATAATATCAACCGAGTGAACAGCATTTGACCATTCAGCGTTGTGTTCCAGGCAACTAACAGGTCACTTGATATCACTTAAATTTGGCAACAGCACCAAAGACCCATGTCTGCCCCTTTGTTAGAAGCAGTGTGTTGTAATTTGTCTTCCACCCATCACCATCTGTCAGCCTTCACATATGATGACTCACACATGCAGATTATGGAAAAATACAGGCTAATATTAGTTCTCCATATGACTGTCCACAGAGAGATGGAGATAAGCTTTTTGAATCTAAAATGCAACTTCTGTCTTTCCAATTTTGTTGTTTCTGCCATTTGCTTTTTTACAAAATCTATTATTGAAACAAAACAGAGCAAGGTTAAAATAATAGGTAAACTCTCCACACGTGCTGCATTTTCAAGTCGATGGACAATTTGTCAAAGCAGCACAAGGAACCAGCAGACAACGTAAAAAGATAAATCAACCAAAAACAAAAGAAAAAAACAGAAGAATTTCATAGACAATCAAATTAGTTCCAACAGGAAGTTTGATTTATTTACAAAACAGGAGTGCAGCATCAAAAAATGAGCTCAGACAGAAGGCAGGAAGATAAACGTAGTCATACAACTTCCAACTATTAAGAAAACGTAGAGGAGCTCTGTTCACACACTGATACACACAATCTTCACATCACCTGCACTGTTAAAAAAAGAGCAGATAGAAACATAGCTGAGAGATCACTGCATTGCACATTTATGCAAGCAAATATGTCAGAACCACTGAAATGTGTCTTGATATCAACATATAGACTTTTTGCCAATCATGCAGTTCGAGATTGTTGAATTTTCATATTTTGTTCAGCCAGCACAGGTTTAATTTGCATCGATCTGCAGTTCTTGTTACTACAGTGTTGTAACTTTTTTTTTTTTTACTATGACAAATTTTGGGGTTCAGCGTTGAAGCACATATCAAAAGAAAACACGCTTCATCACAGATCAGTCTCATAAAAAAACTAATCTCATTTATGTTCATCCACAGATCCAAAATGCCACAGTTTTACATGACAGGTCAGAAAGAGAGAGGTGTTTTTTTTTTTTTTAAATGAATAGCTGTTTTTGGATGTGAATGTGTCAGATAGTGCCTTATTTTGGTTCTCTATTATGTCATCGTCTCTCCATAACAACCTGCCTCCTTTAAAACCCAAGATTGTGGTTGTGCCACATCACATTTATGACCAAAAACGGGAGTCCAGAGTGTGGGTGTTTGAGTCTTTATTGTATTACTGGAACATTTTGTTCTGTAAACCAACGTACCTGTAACACTCAATGAGGCTGAGATGTTCAGTAACACTGTCTTCAATTCCCCACAACATTATTTTCCTTTAGGATTTAACATTTCCAATTGGCCTAACAACTTATAAAAAGCTATTTGCGTTTAAATGTCTGTACAATGCGCGCTGTTTTCATGAGTTCAAACCTAAATATTTGAGAAATCCAGACACAGATCTCAAAACTTATTTCAATTGAATCGTTTCAGTTTGGATTTTAGATTTCAGTGGTGTTCATATTTCTTTTGACCTGTGCATCAAGAACTATTTGCTTTTTTCTTAGAAAGAAAAAAAGCTCACATTTCCATGAAGCAGCTACTTTAAATTTTATAAAAACTAGAAACTTTGATATACAACAATACAACAGTATACAGTGTTAAAACCAATGAACATTGTAGATTTTGTTGATGCCACTCAAGAAAGGACTTCACCTTTGCCACCAGATAAAGACATACTGAAGAGAAGGATATGCAATTTATACAAAATCCCAAACACACTCAGCGTGGAAATTACACCAATGTTTGTTTGTCTTGTGTGACACCTTTTTATAGCCACAACACAGAAAAAACAACAAAACGCAGAAAACAGTTCATAGTTGATTCATAAAAAAGATAAATGCATTTACAAGACTTCACAGTTTCAAGGCAGAAACGTTTCCAGGACAGCAAGGTACTTTCAGGAAAAATCAACCATTTTAAAACCTATCTAGTATGTTTTAAAAAGCATACTCTGATTATATTTTGTATTACAATTATCCCAATGAACAGTGTTTTGAAATAAAAGCTTTCTTTACTTTTTGTGGTTTTTCCATTCGTTTATGGCTGTTTTTGTCTCACTGTTCAGTTGATCTGAGTCTATCCTGGTTATTTAGCCTCTTTCTACGATGTAATAAGCTTTTCGTAATTGTTTTGCTTTACTTTGCAGTGATTTCTGCCGTTTTTAGTCCTTTAGGCCTCGGATGTGCTGACACTTCAGGGTTGTTAGCCTGTGTCCACTTGGCTCAGTAATAATACATTTATGTCTCTGGGTGGATTTTTCCCTCAGGTAAAATGTAAAAAACTAATTCTGTGAGTGAACCAGTAGCTTGGGGGAAAAATGAATCTGAGCTGTGGCCATTCTCAACGTTTTACATAAATACACTCCTGTTAGAAACAAATGGCCACCAGAAACAGAAATTCAGTTCCAGCTCCCTTAAAGGGTAAAAAATAGCACGGAGAGTGCCGCTTGAGTTGCTTATCCTGTGTAAACAGACTTAGAGTAAGGCAAGGAGGAAGAGGAGGATAAGCAACCAGAGAAAGGATGCAATGTTGAGGAAGAAGAGAGATGAGGGTGTGAATGGAAGAAAGGATGAAAAGGAAAAGCTAGATAAAGATAGCTAAAAGGCAGATGACAGAATTAAAGGGCTCAGAGACAAACTTTTGAGAGCTTGAATCATAAATCATCAGTTCTGTGCTGGAAAAGTGTACGTCCAAACCATCTGTCAGTTCCTCATGGCTTTCAAACCATCTGTGAAATTATATCAGCCGTTTTGTGCTTTGTATGGAAAAAGTAAGCAAATGGTCATTCTTTAAATAAAAAAGCGGCTTATACAAAAAAAAATGTTTTTATAGTTATTTTGTATTTTCCTGTATTTATAATGTGTCTTTGTGATAATTTTGTGTTTGTAGCAATTTAATCTCAAGGCCATTCATGTCTACCTGAGATATTTCAAGTATCTATTCAGTAACTGTCTGAATACAGCTGTATTTTATCTTTCAACATTACTTTATTGTTCATTATCTCTTGTTGCCTTTTGTCTTTTAATGGTCATTTGTAGTCTCTTCATAGAAATAACGCCTTCCGATACCTCTATACCCCCTCTACCACTTCCCTCTATCCCTTTGCTGTCACCATTGATTCTGACCAGGGATTTTCCTCTGTAAAACTTATAGTCAAAGTGATGATAACTGTAACATTGTGTCTACTTTGTAAGTTGCTTTGGATAAAATTGTCTGCTAAATACATAAACATATTATAAACATAAATGTTTAATCATTGTGAGTATTCTGAGTGTGTTTTATCCGGAGCAATTTGTAACTTTTTGTCAAGTTTTGATCCATTTATAATTATGTTCGGACTCTTTGTCAAGTCCTTTTGTATCTACATTCACTTTGTGTCAGGAGTCATGGTGGAAAAAAATGTGGAAGAATAAAGGGACCATAGGATAAAACAGTAGCCTTATAAGAAAAACCTAAAGGTGCTTCCGAAGCAGCATGGCCAAAAATATTAACAGAAAGAGGCAGAACGATACTTGACATGGCAGCAGCCGTGAGCAAAAAATGAACCTGAAAAAAGTAATGAACAAAAAGAATGAGTGGCTTAGTAAAAAACTCAAGCCCCCAAAAAAGCTTTGTTCCTTTTTCTCTATGTTTCTTACCTTTGTCGTGGATATTTTCACAACATGTTCATGCATTTTTTTTTAGATTTAAAGAGGTGGACATGGATTTAAAAAAAAAGAGAGACCTCTGTGTTGCACCACCTACATTCAAAGATGAATGTGTGGATTTTCTGTGAATCTGTGCTAAAAAAAATGAAGCCAACTAGGTGTCCTGCACTGGGTGTGAATAAACAAACATATAATTAAAACGTGAAATGTTTTTGACACAAACTGGAGTATGCTTTAATGCATAGATACCTTCTTAGTTTATTTTTCTTGTCACCCCCCATCTTTCACAATTATTTACTTGCTGCTGAGCTCCAATAAGAGATAAACCACCTGAATAAAAAATTCAACCTGAATGCAAAGTTTTTGAAGGCCTCTATTCCAATAATGGCAGTCTGCACACCCATTCCCAACAAAGTGTATGAACGTCTTTGTAACCGCACAATTCGGTCACCCAAAGCCGGTCACTAGATAAGCTACCTAAAGACTCAAACTGAACAAAGTAAAAAAAAAAAGCATAGAAAAGGGTCTGTATCCCCACAATGTAGCTGCAAGAATCTGTCCATCCCCAAAGAGCAACAAGACATATAACACAGGTGTCCACGGCCTTAAAGCACATTACAGCAACTTAAATAAAAGCTGCTGCACAGATTTTTTTCCCTCCTGCAGCAGCTGACAGCCGAGTAATGAGTTTTAGCTCTTTCAAGGGGAGACGAGTGCAAGAGAAAGTGAAGAGATAAGACCGTGAGACGTCTTTGAGGGAGAATTATTTTTCTTCTTTTATCTCCATTTTACTTCTTTATAAGCTTTAGCAACACAAATGTATTTCACCTGTCAAGGTAGCAAAGCTAACTGAGATAAAAATAAGAAAAAAAAAGGAAACTGACCGAAGAGGGGGTAAGTGTAGGAGGGTGAGAGAGGTATGATGGGACAGTATGGAAAGAGAGATGGAAGGGAGGGGAGAAGAAAGGGAAGGAGTTTGGCAGTGTGTTGCTGGGAGTGTTGGACAGTCAGCATTTGTGTGTGTGCAGACGTGAGCTCTGTATATACACGTGTGCATCTAGGACATGCATGTAAAAACAGAGGCAGTGAAGACTGTACCCTTTGCTAATGATTGTTAGTCTTCAATTAAAATACTTGAACATATGCTTGTATTTCCATCCCTACTCATAACTGACAATTCACGAACAGAGGATGGCATCCAAAGAAATGGATAAACACAAGCAAATAAGTAGAAAGAAATGTGTACAAACAAAACAGGTTTTATATCCCTTGTACAAAATAAAAAGGATTACTTAAATTCACAGACATACGTGTTTTCTGAGGAAACTTTGAAATCAGATTCGATGAGAAGATCAAGCTCGACTAGTCACAGCCGTCAGATAATATCTTTTAAGACAAATTGGAAAGAAACTTTACAACTGTTTCATAGAAATTTGAACTCTTCCCATAGAAATGTATTCCAATTAAAATAAAAATCTAATTTAAAGCGAGTGTGTACAGCTGTGATAAAAACATATGTCCAAGATGATTTTTACAATTTGGATTTGGACTTTTATCAAAAAGGAGAAAACTTTAGGGTTATTTTTGTCAAATCCAGCCGGTCTCTGATTGTGATATAGAAATAATATAAAACAACTACTCAGCAGAAGCTATTAATGGTGAAAATGAACAAATATGATTTCTTTTTCCTTAAAGATTTTGATGTTCCAATTTAATGTTTGGAAAATTCATTATCTTATTTTTCTGATTTCCTAGTGTGTTTTTTTGTGTGTAAAATTAAACAAAATATTCAGGTTTGGAATAAATGACTAGATTTGATTCATGTTGAAAGACGTCTAATTAAACTTTTAATGGACAAGCAAGCGGTTGCATTTTTAGCATTGCATTTTGTTTTGTTTCTCTCAGTTATGTATTGGACCAAAGGAGACTTCGGGAAATAATAACACGCAAAATGTAAATTTAACATTTGACCGAAAAAGAAAAGAATGAATAATATTCACTTAAAGCTTCTGGGAGAACATGCTCCACTAAGGTTCCCCCTCTTTAAAAGTAATCTCTGCACAAGACTAAAAAAATGAGTCAAACTTTAAAGTTCTCTTCCCGACTAAGTCAGATACGTCAGACCATTTGAAGCTATGTTGAAATTATGTCAGTAAAACTGAGGCCATAACTCAGAAAGTGTGTAGATAAAAGCTCAAAAACTGCGGGTCTTTGAACCATAACGGGTGACTCAACACTGACAAAAACACTTTCAGGAAGTGACAAACAGCCATGTAGAAACTCTGTAATTAGAGGCATTCAGTTAATGAAGGTGGAGAGGGCATGATTTTTTTTCCTTCAATACTCAGAAGGTCTTGGAGATAACGCTCCTCATCCATCCGCACTTCTGGGCTGAAGACGTCCTGCTGCTTAAAAGAGGAAAAAGATCAAAACAGCTTTTTTTTTAGATTCCATTTCTGATCCCTGGGAAGCCCCCCCACCCGGATCTGAGGAGGGACTTTCTTCCAAATTCTCAAAATGTAAGGCAAAAAACCCCCCAAAACAGTTACATTTAAAGGAACATCCTTTCAAAGTTTCAGTCATAGCATCTGCTCCTTCTGACTCCACTGTGTCTGATCAGCAGAGGGGACAAAGAGAGGACAAAAGATGTGCCCCCCACTCCAGAGAGGAAATAAAAAATGGAAATCACCCCTTTTCATTTACTTTCAGTGTCTCTTTTTCCTTCAGGCAGAGATTCGGTCACCTTCCCTGCAGCGTGAACCCCACTGGAGAGGCTGGAAACCTAAATACTCACCAACAGGAGTCATAATTTGGTCCTGCTGAGGAGAAGGGAGGACAATTTGGGGACTTGTTTGCTAAGCTGCAGGGAGAAGGGGCGATTGAGGGGCTCAGTCTGAAGGTTAGGACCCCTGCAGGGCTGTGGACTGACTTTACTCTGGTCGGAAAAAAACTAATGTCCTCTGGCATAATGAACATTCGAACCCCTGAATTACTACTCAGATCAAATGGAAATGTATTGTTGGGGGTTGAGTTTTGCCGTTGTTCCCGTATTTTGGCGTCTCTATCAGCACAGGAGGTAAAGTGTGCAGCATTTCATCTTTTTCACACTCACCAGCAGAAAAAGTCCAGAGGGGAGTGGCTTTGCTTTTTTCTGATTCTTCATTTTGACTTCAAACCTTTTTTCCAGCTCTGGGGGGTTTCCAGCTCAGAGCTTTGACAGCAGACCTCCGACCACGAGGAGGCCCATTACACCAGAATATCTGCAGTTCGCCTGAGGGAGCCTGCTGCAACACAGAGGAAATAAAACAAAAAAGCACAACACTGCAGTTACGCTGTGAGGAAACGTAATGAATTCTAATGTTCATCATGGAATGAAAGGCTGGCCCGTGCTTCCAAAGATGCGTCCCAATCCCGAGGAAAATTCAACAAAGCCTGAAGTCTTTTTTGCAGGATGTTTTATTTTTTTGTCGATACCTTTCTCTCTGTGGTTTTCTATGACATTTACTGTCTCCCCTCTATCCAGTCAAAGCTGTTGTTCAGCCTGTCATAAGGGAAATCATTTTAGCTTTATCTTCACAAAGTCTTGATGAAGAACTTGTTGACATCCTATGGTGTAAAATCCAATTTTCCATATCAGTTAGTTAAGTTAAAACTGTTTTATTATTATTTTCTAACCCAGAATTATTTATCTTTAGTAATTTCCACAAGTCAGATGGAGGAGGCTCCACTTACACACCACATCGAGCCTCGCAGCATCCACTGATTGACAACTGTGTGGGTGGTTAGAGGAACTTCTATGCCTCCACACCACATCGCACAACAAAAGTGGATCTGTCCTGTTGAAACTGACTACAAATGTAATTTGTACAAATTCTTATTTAATTCTGCCAAACATATTACTTTTTTTATTGAATAACTGCATAGATCCTGATTCCTGTTGACATTGTGGTCGGGGATAAATGTTTTGTTTAACATTTATGTAGCACAAATTCAAGTCCATTTTGAGATTTTTCCGTTCAAGAACAACCTCATCTTTGTAAAGGTCAGAGGGCATATTTGATGAAAAGCAGTGGCAAACTTGCACTGTCTGTGTCTTTATTTGTGATGCCAATTCATTCTGACAAAACAAAGAAATAAATTGCAGTCGGAGACAGAAGTGCCTGAGAGGGCTACAAATATGTCCACATTGAGCTGGGGCTTGATTTTCCAGCAGATAGGGAAGAAATGTTTAAAAGAACTAGCGACTGAATATACAAACGTATTAGTGCTTTCAAATTGAAATCCTTTTCTTTCCTCATCTTCTTCAAAAATGCAACCTGTATATGAAGAAATTTCACCACCTTATTTGTCCACCTGTAAGCTCCCAAATATGGTTATACGAAAGCATTTGTAAAATCTTTCGGGACTACATCTGGATTCATCAGGCTAAATATTCATGCACAAAGAGAATAAACTGCTGAGTCATATCCCATTGTGAATGTCCTCCTGAAGACCTTTATCCAGGGTGCATCGTCGAAGACGATGCTGAATAAGGTCAAAGAAATTTCCCCAAGCAAAGCACTTTCCCCATTTTGTCCGCAGGAATAGGTGAGTGTGAGAGCAACTCAGCTTCAGATGTCTAAGATTACAGGATGGAGACCATTGTATTACCTTGTTAACCACTGACTGGGTTTAAAAGGAGGCTGTGAGCATCTGTATCCATGGAATGAAACCTAAGGTGACTCAGTTTTGCCGCGTAATCACATAAAGCAGAAATCCGTTTTAGCTTCTTTTGAAAGTTTTGAGTGTTCCCCGAGAAATTGAAACTACACAAACGCACTTAGTTCCTGAGAATAGACTCACCTGCCGACGTCTTTTCAGAATGGCAGCAAGACTCTGCGCTGCAGCTGATGCTCAGCTCCGAGCCAAACTGCCGGAAAATGGAGCTGTAGCTCAAGTGTTGCGTTTGTGGCGGTCATTTTCTTTCGTGTCATCTCCGTTTCTTCAGAGTTGATCTTTTGGCTGCAGACTTCGGCTGGCGCTGAAAACACCTGTTACTAAGCAACAGGGAGGCTGGCAGGACGACGGGTGAGCCACTGGAAGCCGGCTCGTCTCGTCTCTGCAGTCAAACCCGTTCAAAACAGCTTTGTTCACTCTCTGCTTCAGCCTCCAACTCTCGTGGGCCTCTACCTGTTCCTCCTCCTCCTCCTCCTCCTCCTCCTCCTCCTTCACTACTCAGAAGCAAAACTGCATCTTCTTTGTCACCTTCGCAAGTTTTTTGAGTATGTTTTTTCAAAGGTGTTGATGACAGTTTATGTTTTTATGAAAGGGAACACAAAGCAAAGAAAAAAAAAGAACAAAAAAAAGACAAAATTCTTCTCCCGTGAGAGACAGCAACCCTAACATGCTGCCCGGCAGGCAGTTGATGAAATCCCAGCTCACCTACATTCACCTCGTGTTCTCGCTGCATCGCTGCTGATTCCTGCAGTGCTGCTGTCAGAGAACTGCAGAGCGGAGGGATTTCTTCAAAATTCACAGGATCTGGGCAGAAAGCACCACCGTAGACTGGAGGTTGTCCAATTTATAATCACCAAAGGCCAAATGTTTGCCCGCTTGACAGCTTATTTCACAAAAATCTGCACATTTTGCTGACATTCGTACAAACATCCCTGTATCGTGTGAGCAAGTCACTTATTAAATGCATTAAATGTAAAAGGCCAATTAAAGATTTTTTCTATTTGGAATGTTTTGTCATGTTTCAACAATAGATGTTTACTTTCATGATGAATTTGACATACATTGTTTGGATTCAGAATGTTTTAACTGCTGCTTTTCTTGCCCAGATGTGCTGCCTGCCAGGCAGACTGAGACGACAATCACACTCAAAGCAGTGAAACACAAAGTGCACTTTTTCCTTGTTGGCCAGCCAAAGGGGGGCGAGGTTAGGTTATGAGATTAGTTACTTGTCATTTCAATGATCATTAAAAGTAGACTGAAGTAGTTGTGAAGATTCAAATATGAAGAGCTTTTTCTTTGAAAAATATTTTGTTCAGTAATAAAGTTGCACCTGAATTTGGAGGTTTTTCTTTTCTGGTATTGTGCATGTAACCTTACCAACTAATAAAATCTGCTCCACGGCCATTTTGGAGAGTTCTTGGCTGGACCAAGTCTTTATTTATGAGCTTTATAAAATTTTCATTGGCTATCTTATTCTATTTGAATTGATTGTTTTGCTGCTATAGTGTTAACAAAGCTGAAAACTGGTATGTTAGTAAAGTCCCTGCCGAGGTAGGTGACACTTAGTTTATTGTATTATAAGTATTGAAAGTCTGTTAAGTCATCATTTTTGAAGGTGAGATCAAAAATGGAAAACGTCTAGCTAGTTTTGCCAGTTTTGAGGCTATCGGTGAATTAGGAAGATCCTTGTCAAGGATGAAAATGTGCACCACTGTTCCTGCTTTTTTTCTGTGTTGCCAGTGTGGTCGTCGCCTCAGTTTAAATGTTCATGTGTCAGGGTTGCTGCCTCTCAGGCTGCCTGTCAGGAAATCCGGTAATCGAAGGTATCCTTCTCCATGTAGTCTGTCCAGGTGGAGGATGGCATGCTGCGGTACGGGTCCAAAAGGATCCGGAAACAGCGAACGATCAGCAGGCCCAAGAAAATAAAGAGGATGAGGACAAAGACGAAAGCCGCCCTCTGTTCCTGGGTGAGGAAAGAGGCGGATGCTGAGGATGAGGAGGAGGGGAAGTCTGATTCAGAAGCAGAGAAGGTGCTGCTGTAGAGGTCGTCGGCCATGTTGAGATGGTGATGGTGATGATGATTGGTCGGCTCAGGTCGTGACTGTCCTCATCTATCCTCGGGACAGCAGCTTCACTGCAGATGAGCGCTGGAGTCAGAGAGGAGACACAAGCAGCAGGAAATATTGATCAGGTATTGGAGCTCATCCCAGCCGACACAGGGTGAGAGGCGGGCTGGACCTTTGACAGGTTGCCAGTTCATCACAGGGCTGCACAAAGGGGAACAACCACGCACACTCGCACTCGTTGCCAGTTGCAACTTCGAGTCACAAATGAGCGAACGTCCATGTGTTTGGATGGTGGGACGAAGCGGGAGTGCCCAAAGAGAACTCGGTGCTTGGGAAATATAAAGAAATATTCATAAATAATACAACAATTAAACATGCCAATATCTAAAAAAAAAAACTGAGTTTATTTTTCCTCTTGATATATTGACAAAAATGTCCATTTTCTTAAATCCTGTACATGAAGTAATATAGAGGCGGGCTTCCCAAACTTTTCAAAGTATTAAATAACCCATAGATTTACGTTTGACGTATAAAGTTATGGCCATTCTGTTTATGTTGTGTGCTGCTCGCAGCAATATTAGTCCAGTTTCTTTCATATCTTTTATGATGAACGGTTTTTTGAAGCATCCATTTTATCTTCATAAACCTGCTCAAGAGTTGTTTTATAACTCGGAGTCTTTCTAAGTCTACTTCTTCCTCGCAGTTTTTTCATGCCAGCAGTCTGTGGGTGGGACTGTGGGCTTTGTTTGTTTGGAACACATAAATCTGGGAAGAAACTGTTCATTTGCTTCCCACGTGCAGATTAAAGCCAAACTCAATTTGCTTATTATGTTGCCATATTTGCCTGTTTGTTCAACTGGGTCCTGAATTGTAAGGTGAGGAAGTAAAGTTAATGTATGCAACTGAATCTAAACTCTAGGTGAGTAAGAAGGCAGAACGTTTCCTTCAGGTGAGTTGTGCTCATAAAGCTGCATTTCTGACTGCTTAAAGGAAGAGAACTAACCAACATAAAAAGCCCATATAGCTGAGTGGAGCGACATCCAGAGTTTCTGAGCTCAAAAGTACATTTTGCTCATGCATGCAGTTCTAAGCCAATGCAAAAAAGACCACAGATGGCTTTGTTAGCTTTTTAATGTTGCTTTGATGTAAAACTTAATAAAATATGACTTTACATTCACCACATAACTCTGGGTCTTATTAGTTTGAACAAGATGGGTGCAGGACATCTGTGAAGGATTTGCTGTGTCTGCACATTTTAACCTACTCCTCCCTCTCTCGTTAATATTTCACCGGCAGTATTCCTCTCCGTCCTCATTTTTATTCACCTTTAGTCTCTGAATGTCTGAAGGAACAACAAGAAAAGTAATCTTGAAATCCATGTGGCCTGCAGAAAAACAAATCCTTTAAAAGTCATGTTCTTCATATTTTGCCGTTATTGTTGTTTATATTTTGCACGCTTTTGTGCTGATTCCTGCAGGTTGTGGCCAAAACTGTAACTTTTGCAGTGGGTTTTTCTTTGCAAGGCACAAAATAAAGCCCCAGAGTCTTGGGCGTGAAACCCAGCAAATGTAATTAGGTTGGATGGAACAAATCACCCTGACCTCACAGTTGTCACTCTCACTGTGAGGAGTCATTGCAGCCCAAGCCTTTGAAGAGCCATCTGCATAAAATCAAAGACATTTAATAACTTCTTGGAGAAGTTTGAACCCGCTGAGGTCAGAGTTTTGGCCTTTTTTATTCTGCGCTCAATTTCAAGGTGTCAAATAAAAACCCAGAGATTTTCCCTGCCTTGGATTCAGCCGATGATTAAGAGTCAGTTCTTTATATGACGAATACTCCAAATGTCAGGCGTACCATTGCCTGTCCTCACTTCTGTCTGAGAGACTATTCTGAAAGTCTCCAAATATTTTGATTGAATGATTAAAATTCCATAAAAAACACCTCTGAATGCTTTTTCCAGATCACAGTTGCCCAGAAATAAGAAAGAGTTGAGAAATGAAAAAGTGGCATCCCTTTGTCAGTGTGGATGGGGACAACGGATTATCACAGGAGACACAAGCGTGCCCTGACCTTAAGTTTCAATTGGACAGAAACAAAACTGCTAGGTCATTACAATTTTGGGTAGGGGCGAAGCCACACATAACAGAGAGCATGCAAACTCCACATACAAATGTCCACTGTGTTCAGCCCACATTGGTTCAAGGCATGCTACAAATTCTTGCTTCAGTTTTGTGAAGGCATTTATATTTGTGATAACCTTACTTGAGTAGCAGTACCTCCATGGTTTTTTGCTTCCATAACTTGTTGTTTCACATGACAAAAATGAAAGAAATGCACTACAACGATTTGTTTATGCATGATGATATTTTCCTTACATTTTTTACGTGATCCCTGTACCCAAGCAGTCAGTCAACCTAAAATGTATTTCCTCAAATGTCTCAAACTACAATAATATTGAATTCATAACACTTTCATCAGTCTATCAGGATGCATAAGGAATTTAACCTTCATTAAAATCCCCACAACAATATCTTAATCTACTTTGGATATATCATATTCTACTGCTCCTTCAGAGGACATTTCATTGACTTTCATTCCTTTTCTGGCGAGCTAACCCTTCTCTAACTCTCCCCATTGTTACTGCCTGAGGTGGAAATGAGACAAAGTGAAGCATCCTACCGTAAAATTCAAAATGTGTTGGTGTGGAGAGCAGGCAGAGGAGTGAGAGTGGGTGTGAGAGGAGGATGTCAGTCTGTGTGGGAACCAGGCAGAGAATCTTCTGCAGAGCTGCGAGCATTCAACATGTTTTCGTTGTTGCTTCTAATCAATTCAGCCTCTCAAGTGATCATTTCGTGTGGTTAATGAGGTCAAAGAAGCCAAGCCAGCGTGACCTTTTCATTAAAAAAAAAGAAAATGTTGGTAGAGTGATTATTGCTACGACTGGGATTAAGATAATATTACAAATCATATTTTTAAAAAACATTTACTACTCAGGGCACCCTCTTTTTCTTTGCATTTGACACTACATTAAGGAACAAGACATATGATGTTGAAATCTCATCCAAATCGATCAATGCCTGGAGCTTTGACACTCAGCCGCAGCTCTTATGCTACCTGCTAATCATCTCTGCAACATGCAACATAGGGTGTAATATTGGAGTAATTCAGCCGTGCGGTGTATATTGAAGGAGACACAACAGAGAAGGATTGCGCACCATTGCCTGTAGGTCAGTTTATTGGAATTGTGAAGCGTATAATACTCTTTACAACATCCAACCTGTAATGTCAATAGTGTTAACAAGAACTTCAGTATTGATGAAGTTTGAAAAGGGCTCATAAAACGATAGATAAAGTCCCATCCTGCAGGTTAAAATAATGGAATATTTAAGAGTTCTACAACAGAAATTCTTCCTTTGTATCGTATATAAAAAGTACCCTCTGGATATCATTGGAGTTAAAAAAATATATGTGTGTATAAGTTGTGCTGTTGTGTGCTACTGCTGCCTCATCTTATTAAGGAAGGTTACAGAACTGAAAGGAAAGTTACTGCTTACGTTCATTATTGAGATTCTTGACTCCTGTTCTGCTTTGTTTTGGCTCCTCTGCCACTGGAAATCTAAGAGACCTTCAAACATGTGTTTATTATTATACCTTTCCTCCTGGCAAGTTTGTCTTGGTGCCTGAGCCCTCTCTGCATTTTATTTTACCTGAGTAAGATGCAAAAAAAATCCCATAGCACAGGAGAAAATAATTTTTGCACCAGTCTGTAAAAATCACAAATCTTTCATGTAAAAGAGGTTGAGCTAATTATGTTTTTTCAATGAAAAATATATACTAAATGAATTGGATATGTGACAGAAATGTAACTAAACAGGATCTTTCCAGAAACATGAGGCACAAAAAAGTGAGACTTAAATGTGACTGAAAGAAGGATCCTGACAGAAACATAAAGAAATACATATTTAAATGAACATCAAAAGCATAACTCCAATCCATAACATTGAATACAGACGTTTAAAGCTTCTTCATTCACAAAGGACCAAACGCTAATCTTATCACAAAAAGCTTTGTTATAACATATGGCTCTCGCCTTCACAAATGATAGTGTTCACTAAAAAAGTCATTGTTTGTCTCCACAATTAAGCAAAAGTTAAAGTATTGGTCTCCAAAAATGACAAGAGAAGCTAATTCAAAAGGAACTTATTGTGAGAGAAGATGCCATTAATATTATCTCCTTCGTGCGTGATTGTGTTTTACTTTCACCACATTTTCATTTTCTCTTCCTTACTTTGGTAAATGCTAATCCTTGCTTTATTTGTTCAAGGAATCGCCATTCCCCAGCATAAACACCTTGAATCATGTATAATTACTGCTGCACACCGCAGGCCTGAGCATTGTGGGGGCATATTCAGAGCTACTGTGAGTCAGAGGGAGACAGTAGACACATTACTGGGAGAAATGCCAGACTGAAATGAAGAGTGGTTCGCCCTCAACAGCCTCGCTGACTGACACGCAACAGTGTCGATATTTTCTGTCGAAATCTCCGGCTACACCTCTGAAAAATTGAACGGTGTTGGAGCAAACACATAATGCAGAAAACAGCCTAACTCTGCATTGTGTTTTTGATTACATTAAAATTTCAAATGTAATAAAAAGTTCTATCCACATCTGGTGAGAAAGCATAATTTCATTGTTTATTACATTAGTACAAACTGGCTCATGTTTCTTTTTAAGGGTTCATGCATCTAAATGCTGTTACTTATGCCTGTGTCTTTTATTTAATTTGGAATAATTTACTTGTTTTCCATCTTTTTATGTTCTTTAAGATATAACTTTCTTTACTTGTTATGAGTTCTTTTTGATTAATTGCTTTATTTCTCTTTTCAGTAACTATGTCTAGCTTATCTTTTTTTTATATTTCTCTACTTTTGAAATGAGCCTAAACACAGTTTGGATGCCTTCGCAAGCTTTTTGATATTTTATCTCACTC